ACTCAACGTGCAAGCATGGCCCATTTTGGAAGGCAACAAGCGGGATTACCCTAGGGGTGCAAGTGTGATTGGTGTATTGACTGTCATGCATTTGTCTTGTATTTAGGTTATCTAGCGGTTGATTTTAAATCTTCGCATACAAACCCTAATTACTATACAGTATATAGAAAGCGATAAATTGCGGGAATTTAAAGTCTAATCTATTACAAATAAGTATCCGGGGATGGGGGTACAAATATTTACAAATGGGGATGAGACTTATTAGGAGAGTAGTGTCCAAATATATTTACAACCAAATTGAATCGCCGTCTCAATGTAAAATGTAGCAATGTACAAGAATAAAAGATAAGCAAATGTATTAGTGTAAGTGTATGTGATTTATTTACAAGTGATGCAAGATATTAACTTAGTGCAAAATTAAGTAAGTATTTATTTTATGTTTTTGTTGACTATGCATAAACAAAAGATTTAAGAAAATAAAATGCTTAAGAAATTCTATTTTTATGTATTAATGTTTTTATATATTTTAGTTAATATACAAAAGGGTTTTAAAGAAAAGAAAAGAAAATTGTTTAAAATTTAATTATCCTATTATCTATGTATTTAGTTAATGTATAAAGGTTTATTAAACAAAGATTCTAAAAAAAGAAAATTATTTAATTTAGAAAAATCCTATTTTTATGTACTCTTAAATGTGATAAAAAAAGTATTAATAGACATTTTACAAAAAAAAGAATTTTAATGTATCATTTTTTTATTTAAACAAAAATATTAGTATAAATTAGTTTGAAATAAAAATGGCTAAAAGATTAAATGGGCCTTAGAGTTTATTCCTGGCCCATAACAAAATTTGAAAGAGAAAAAAAAGGAATCAGAGGGGGTGTAGGCCAGGATCTATTGGGCTTAAGGCTTGTTAATGGGGCGAACCGGCCCAAGCGCTTTTGACAAACTTTTTGTTTTAGGGTTTTCGTTGTTTTGGTTCATTTGGAATTAGGGTTACAGGCTTAGAGCGGCGTCGTTTCTAACATTGTCTTCTTCGTTCTTGAGCCATGGTCTCTGAACTTTCCCCTTCGTCTCAGCTACCAAACGCCATCATCGCTCCCTCCTCTCCATGGTCACGCAGGCGGTGATTTCGAAGAAGGTAATGATTCAAACTTAACGCATTTTTAGGGCTTCAGTTCATGCATGTTTTTAATCTTTTTATGTATTGATTCTTTATGTGCTATCTGTTTCTGTGTGAGGTGTGGAAGAGAAGAGGTACTACCTTTGCGGTTCGTTGCTTGGAGAGGAGGAGAGGCGAACTGGAGGCGTGTCTCAGGCAGCTGGAGGCGAGGGCGTGTGATGCGCTGTGAGCTTTGCTTTTGGTATTCCTGGTATCTTTCTTTTATGGGTTTTATGATGATTGCCTTGAAAACCTTATTTTAATCACTTCTTTCCTTCTTCTGACTGCTTGCCTCAGTTGCTTACTTGCTTTGATTGCTTGCTTGATCTTCTTCTGTCTGCTTGCTCTGTATGATTATGATGTTTGGAATCTGAGTGTTTTCTTCAGTTTCCTTTAATAATTTTGATTCTTTTCCTCTTCTTCTGTTTGCCTCTGAATCTGAGAAATGTTGATGTTGTTGAACCCTATGATGAAGTTATTCTGAGGGTGTTGGGCTTGAATGATTGCTAGACAGTTTTGAGGCTTGGTATGCTATGTATGGCTTAAGGGTTTGAACAGGTTTGCAGGCAGGTTGATGGCTTACGAACTGTTGGGAATTTACAGGCTCATTATTGTTGGCTTCTCTTTAGAAGCTTGCTTCAGTTTGTTTATCAGTTTGGTACAGGCTGAAGGCTGAGTTTTTGAAAGGTTTGAGGTGTTAGCAGGCTTCAGGCTTGAGACAGGTTATAGGCTTGGCTTTGATTTGTGAGTTTGCTTCAGTTTTGTATGGCCTTGAGTTTTGTAACTTACAGGTTTATGCAGGTGAAGGCTTCATGTTTGATGCAGGTTAAGGCTATTTCTGGCTTGTGTTACAGTTTGTAGTGAGCTTGGTTTCTAAGCTTGAGGCAGGCCTGTATGTTTTTGCTTTTGATACCGGCTTGAGCTTGTGTTATTTCTTGGTGTTTTCTGCCTCCTCTTGTACTGTGTTCTGATATGTCTTGTTTATATCTTTTTCTAAGCCTCAAGCCTGTAAGCCCCTTCTCTCTCTCTTCTCTCTCTCTATCAGAAAAAGCATTTGTTTATTGCTTACTGTACTATGCTCTGAAAAAGTGATTGGCTTGGGAAATGATGATTTTTGAATATGTTTGCATTGTTAGTTTTCCTCTGCACACTTTCCAGATTTCCTGCATATTGTGTACTTCTTGATATCTTTTGACAGCCTTTTGATAGCTCTTGGAAAGTTGGTTGACATTGGACTTGGTTTAGTTTCTTCAGTTTGCAATCAGTTCAGTTTGGACTTTGTGCATTGGTTTTGAAATTTTGAACTGTGCAATTTGTTTTTTGGCATATTCAGTAGTTGTTCAGTTTGCCTCTTTGGTTGACAATTTTGGAATTATGCAGCTTGTTCACTTTGTTTTATATGCTGCCTTGTACATTTTTACATGCTTGCAACATTATTTTCTATCCCTCTTTGTGAACCAAGAATTTCTTGTGATTTGCAGAGAGGGTGAATAAACTGATTCCGTCCAGTCACTTTTAATGATGAGCTTTAAAATAACTGTCTGCTTTTAATTTCATCTGGGTTGACTTCTTTTCTTCTTTTGTTTTTGCAGATGAAAATCAATTGAGCAATGGGGAGCAACAATAGAAGATGAAGACTTAGGAAAAATAGGATGCAATTTTATTTCATTTTTAATTATTTGTAATAATATTAATGTAAATAACTGTAAATAAATTTACAGTATTCAAATAATATCTGTAACAAACAATTCAAAATGAATAAACATCCTTCTTTGTCAGTTAATTCTTCTTTAATTCAATTCACTGTCTATTTAATTATTCAAGTTTCTTAAATTAAAATAACTGGAAGTAAATCCCAACTATTCTAACTTAGAATAAATAAATAATTAATAAACATTGTGGTCTTGCAATCAATAATAAACCCGGCGTCCCAATTAAACATAAGCGATGCACAATCAATCAAACAAACATCCATATGCCTATCCCTTTTACTGATTAAATCAAACACTGCAAACTCTCAATCAGAAGCCTCAATCCATATCTCAGAGTAAATTGAAAAGATCTGTAGAATTAATTCTTTCTGAGAATGCGCGCACAAAACCTTGATTCTTGTTTTAATGTTCACAGAAGCGCCTGCCTGATCAAACCCTAAGCCAAACTCAACTAAACCCTAATAATCTTCTTGAACTGTTCCAGAGTCCATGAAAACCCTAATTTGGATAGACTGATAAGAAAAAGTCTGTTTGACTGATTCTTAGGCCAATCTGAAAAGTCAGGAGAAGCCTGAAGCTGTGATTTCTTGTGGAAAAAAGGAGGGCAAATTTTGGGGTACAACAGACGGTGTTCAATTACCGAGTGCAGTGTTTGTACTGCGTCCCTGGTTTGAAATCAGTCTCTTTTGTTCCTTGGATCCTTTTATCAGTTTTTGTCACTGTTTATCCATTAATCTGAGACCAGTAGGTGCTCTGAGAAACATGCGCTCTCATCACTCTCGCTTTGGGTCGAGTTTCGCCTCACCCCGTGCATGAAATCCAGTTTCGTCCTGGTACTCATCTAGTTTAGTTTCACCTAACTAGTTATTGAGTCTATTTTTGTCTCATTTTTGCTTTCATACCTTGGACCCTTTGACGGTGTTCGTTTACCGAGTGCAATGTTCATACTGCGTCCCTGGTTTGAAATCAGTCTCTTTTGTTCGTTGGATCCTTTTATCAGTTTTCTTCACTGTTTATCCATTGATCTGAGACCAGCAGGTTCTCTGAGAAACATGCACTGTCATCACTTTGCTATGGGTCGAGTTTCGCCTCATTACCGGTGCGTGAAATCCAGTTTCGTCCTGGTACTCATCTAGTTTAGTTTCGTCTAACTGGTTTTTGAGTCGAGTTTTGTCGCGCTTTTGTTCCTCTTTTCTGGGATTCTTTCAGTTCCTTCATACTGTCTATCTTAGTTGAGATTAGCAAGTGCTCCTAGAATCACGCACTCTAACCACTTTGCTTTGGGTCGAGCTCAGAGTTTCGTCTCCTCACTGTTGTACCCCAATTTTTGACCTAAGATCCCATTTATATTTTTGCATTTTTTAAGATAAGTCAAGGTCACGAAATACAGTCGGTTTTAACGTCTCACCTTCGAGCTTTGACTATGCGAAGATTGTCAAGTGTTTTGAACATTTTTAGCATATGTATCACTAATTTCTAATCGCATACAAAGGTGTATGTTCATGTTTTCTTTTGTGTCAGGTGCAGAGACAAGTCTGAATCAAGAGCATCAGGTGTCGCGCCTCAATTAAGGTTTTGAGTCTCCCAAGCCAGAAGTACGATTGATTGTGGATTCTCGAAGACTGATTCATCAAAGCACACCGTTGCACCCTTAATTTCGCCCCTAATTTTTTTCAGTCGCACTTTCATATCGTATTTTGTCATTTGGTCACAATCATTAGTAAATATTTTCATTCATCACTATTAAGCTTCAGGCAGCTCGTATGCGTTATGTGTTTGAAAATAAACCATATTTCTTAAATTTGATAGATACTCCAGGACACGTTGACTTCTCGTACGAGGTTTCTCGATCGCTTGCTGCATGTGAGGGTGCTCTCCATGTGGTAGATGCTTCTCAGGAGGTAATTTGATATCTTTCAATGTTAGTAACAACAGTTTCACAGGTCATATTCCAGTTTCAAACTTTTGTGTTGGTGTAGATAAGAGTTCTTCTTTGAGATTCTTGGATTTTTCTTCCAATGATTTTGACGATGCTATTCAGACTGGTTTAGGTGCATGTTCTAAGCTTGTGAGATTTAGAGCAGGTTTCAATTTACTATCAGGGAATATCCCAATTGATGTTTATGATGTTTGTTTCACTCATTGAAATATCATTGCCATTGAATAAAATTGATGGAACAATTGGTGATGGAATTGTGAATCTTGCAAATCTCACAGTTTTGGAGCTTTACCCCAATCAGTTGACAGGTTCTATTCCTAAGGATATTGGTAAGCTTTTGAAATTGGAAAAATTGCTTCTTCATGTCAACAATTTGACTGGTACGATTCCGCCAGCTATCACCCTCCGTTTCCGCGTAAGTTTCTGCACATACTCCTCAATCATGTAGTGGCTCTGTTTCTTTTATTCTTTTTTAATTTAGTTATCATCTTTGTATATTCACTCTTTTAATTTAGTTTTATTTTTTTTTATATTCAAAAGTTTATCCAAAAATAAATAAAAAGTTAAGACATTAGATTTTAAATTTAGAAGTAATAATGTTTATCTTTTGTTTTTTTAGATTACTTTAGTACATTATGTAATGTGTAATTAATTTGTTGGTTTGTAAATAAATTCAATTTGTGATTTAATTTTCTTATTGTTTTATTTAATAGAAACTTTTGAGTTTTAGATTTAGTTAGAACTTTATCTTGTAAATAAATTTAAGTTGTGTTGTCTATTTTATATCATTTCATTGTGATTTCACATTTTGAACTCGATTTAATTTTCGAATATATAATGGATGTATAAACTTCATTGACCAGTTTATTTTATGGATTTCGATTTGACGCATTTCGGTCCCATAGCTTGATTCATTATTTCACATGAGATGTTCATATTATTTCTCTGTTACCCTGTTTTATCTGTTTGTTGGAGTTTTTCATGTGATGTAGGGAATCTTATACCGTGAGCGTCATCCACGATTTCTTTTTTCCGTGATTTATTTTCACGCGTTGCACTTCTCGCTTGTGGTTCATTGCGCTTTATTCGCTGCTGGGAGTATTATCTTACATCTGGTTTTTTTTGACGCTGTCGGCTCGTGATTTATTTTCACCTGAGGTTTGATATACTCTTAGCTTATTTATCCGTCTATGGTTTTAACTCCAAAGGAAAGAATTAAATTTGTTGACTTCATGTCACTGAACATATCTCATACGATTACGCGAACCCCTTCATTCATTTTTTTACTTGTTTACTATTTTGCTAAACTTAAGATAATTTTCCCAAAAGACTCCATTTTCAAACTCACACCTTTTAAGTCAAAACTCCGACACTAGGTCGTCGTATCTTCAAAAATCTCGTCCACACCTATTTTTAATCAAACAAACAATTTTAACCAAAAACAGATATTTCAAAAGGTTCCTGCGGAGTACCGCAGATGCATTGGGTGCTAATACCTTCCCATTGTATAACCAACCCCCGAACTCTCGATCTCTTTCAAAAACGCATTGTATTTTTATTACTTTCAAGTATTATTTTACATTGCATATTTTAGGGTTTTATTTCGCTCTTTTCCCTTTTCCCTTGGAAATAATAAAGCGCGGTGGCGACTCTTGCTTTTTGTGAGTCAAGTTAATTAATAGCTTGATCTCCGATTTTCACCGCTACACTCACCTGCATACGTTTTATTTTCCAGAGCTCAGTTTCGCCTATACTCTGTGGTTTGAGCTTTATCTCACCCTTTTGAAGCCCAGTTTTGCCCTGGCACTTTTGTCCGGAAGATTAGTTGCGTCTACTCTTCTTTGTTTTCGTTCTGTTTCAACCTGCATTACGGCTTCATTCTGACGCATGTCTTGGGGGTTTTCTGCTTCTTTTTCTTTCTTCTTCAAGAGTGTAAATTTTTGGGTTCTTTTGTATTCAATCATCTTCAACTCTGAACGCTCGAAAGTTGTCACTTTTCTCACTTATCATGTTGAAGATATTTGAATAGGGGCAGCTGTTGCACCCCAAAATTTATCCTCTTGATTTAGGCCTATGTTTCATCAAGAATATCATATTATATTGCATTCATACATTATGATGGGATCAAAGTACTTTGGTTATCAAGTCTTCCTCAAGCTTTGAAGGTTGATTGCATTGACAAGTTGCTCAAGTAGAACCTTATCATCTAAACCTCTGGATCTTTCAAGCTCAAAAGTTATTGCATATCTCAGGATATTTTATCCATCTCTTTGGATCATCAGAGGATTGAAGTTTGTGTTTGATTATAAGAAAAATCACTCTTTTGATTCACCAGTTAAAATTAGGGTTTTGCTTGATCAAGGCTATTGATCAATGTACAAGTCTTGATTTGGAAGCTACAATATCTCATTGGTATTTGAAAAGTCTCTGTACAAGAAATTGGCCAAAATCATCAGAGGATTTGAAGTTTTGAAGTTGATTCATCAGTCTCCTAAGGTGATAACCAAAAGTAGGGTTTGAGATTTTATCAGGATTTCTTGAGAATTTTGAAGTGGAACTTCGCACATGGCCTCTATATATTTGGAAGATCACATGTTTGAAGTCTTCATCATCAATTTTGAAGGGAAGTGGATCAATTGATTCAAAGGGGCAAAATGGTCATTTTGGTCAAAATCAGTCAAAGTCAAGGTTGACCAAGGGAATTTTTTGGTCAACCATCAATTCAAGGGTGTACTTTTCATATTTCAAGTCCATTTTGATCATTGGATCAAAAAGATTGAGGTTTGGATTGAAACTTGTTCATGAAGAAACCCTAAAAGTTTCTAATTTTGGAAAATAAGGACTTAATTTCAAAAATTCATATTTTATTCACCTTTGATCAAAAAATGCAAATGAAACATTCTTGGAAAGATAAGAGGATGATCTTTCATCTCCTTTTGGTCTCATGTCCAAATTGGAAATGAATCAAGAGTTATGGTCTTTGGAAGTCACAAAATTATAGGTCATTTTCCAAATTTAGTGAATTTCATGTCAAATTTTGAGGACCTTAATGAATTCAATTGCAAAAACTCAAAACTAAGGGATTGTATATCTTTTCAATACCTTTCCAAATTATGCTTATTTGTGTCCAAATTCAAAAATATGAGCAAGTTATAAATTTTGGAATTTTGAGGCTTTTTATTGAAATTTGACAATTATGCAAAATGGTCATTTCTTGAGAGCTTCATTTTCAGCTATTCTTTCCACTTCTAATCAATCCCATGAACAATTTGTGACATGCTGAGGCCCATTACACTCACCATTTCGTGCCCATGTACTTCATGAACTTGCTTGAATGAAAAAAATACAAAACATGCTCAATTTTGCAAATTCACCAACACTTCTTCATTTCAAACAATCATGAGCTGGCATTTGGAGAATGTATTTCTGACTTCATTTGGCTCACAAAATGCACAAAAGGCAAGCAAATGCACGAGTGAAACGCAGGCTCCATGTGCATCCTCATTTTTGGCCAAAACTTCCAAACTTACCCTCCAACAGTTTTGAGTGCCAAATACCACGTCTATCCTCTTCCTCTCGTGCTATATAACAAGAATCAAGGCTCAATTGTGAATGAGGAGGCTTATAATCACTACATTGCAAATCTGAAAATTTCCAAGCATCTCTGCAAATTTCTTTGAATCTCTCTTCTCCTTGGACCATTCTTCAAAATTCTTGGTGATTCAGCTTCAGTGAAGTAAGGAGATCAAGCCTGCACCATTGGATTGCTTCTGGAGTGAAGGAATCGTGTTTCCAGTTTTCACATCCATGTGAGTTTCTTGAACTTTGATTTATGTGTTTCAGCTTGAATTGATGATGTAAATCATGTTCATTGAGTTGCTAGCTGACCAATCACTAGGATTGATATATATTTGAGCTTTGATTCAAGCAGAATTGTTGAAATCGTGTTCATGACTTTGATGTTTGCAGTGAGTTTTTTCAGTTTTTGAGACCTTGTTTCTTGATCCATGCTTGATCATTGAGATTGATTCAAATTGCATAATGTAGTATGATATGCTAGCTTTAATTTGCACTTGATTTCATGGATTTTGGTTGAGAAACGAGCATGATTGATGGATCTGAACATAGGCTCATGACCTGTTGTGTTGCACGCGTTTTTCTCTATGCTGGAGGTTGAAGATGAAGTGAGGTGGCGCACTGTGATTGGCTTGATTTAAATTATCATGCATTTCATATTATTTGATTTTAATTGATTTTCTGATTTTTATTTCTTGATCAAAACAACTTAAAAAATTCTGAAAAAATTATCACAAGTCCAAAATAATTTATAAAATCTTTTCTAATTTTATTGGTGGTTTTAGAAATGTTTTGATTGGTTTAAGAATTCATAAGTTTAAATAATTGTTAGTTTAGAGATTATTTTTATTTTAATAGCTCTTTTGATATAAAAATTCCACAAAATATGTTTTGGACTCATAAAATATTTTAGAAATTGATTCTAATTTTTGTTTAGCTTTTTTTTCTTTCTATTTTTTATTAGAAATTTAATTTCAAAAGTTCATTTGAAATATTTGTTTCATAATTTTTGTTTTAATACTTCCTTCAATTCAAAAATTCTCAAAAAAATCATGCAAGTTTGTTTTTAGTCATAGAGTCTGAATATATTTTTATTTTGACCTTTTTGTGACTTTTGGCCAGGGTTTGCATTTTTGACTTTAAATAATAGCTTAATTGTTAATTGTTTGATTGATTTTTATTTTAATATTTCCTTCAATTCAAAAATTCCACAAAAAATCAGAGATGTGTGTTTTTAATTCTAATATTTGAATATAATTTTATTTTGAGATGGGATTATTTGTTTAATTGATTAATTGTTTGAATTTGATTTTATTTTTGACTTCTCATTAATTCAAAAATGTGAAAAAATATGTATTCTGACATTTAGGGTTTCCTTGTGGTTTGCATGATCTTGGTTTGAATTGTTTGAATTTTGATCTTCCCTAATTAATATTTAAGATTAAAATTCAAACAATCAGGGTTTTGTAGCTTACATTGCAAGTTTCATTTTCAAAACCATTATGCCCTGGATCTTCAATGGAATTTAGGTCTTGATTATGGTTAATGAATGTATTGAGGATCTGAAAACCATTTTTCTTGAATTATTTGACTTGGTTTGATATTTTTCCATAAATTATTTTGAAAACTTGTCTAAATTTTGATAGTTTGGCTAACTAGTTTTGAACTTTGGGCCTCATTTGATCCCCTCCTCAACCATTCATGAACTTGAGACTTGCTTTTTGACTTCTACACACTTCAAAGATGCTAAGAAATTTTTGGTTTGAATTATTGAAATCCTTTTCTATTTTTGATGTAATTTTGAAGTGAAGGTACTTAATTAATGTTGCATATCTTGTTGCAATTTGTTTGATGGCCAATGAACTTGAGTGAGGCCTATAATTGGGCATCTAATGATCATGTTGGTTCTGTTTATCCACATAAACTCAAGTCATTTCATTAAATGCCTCATGTCTGAATGATTGATCCTTTTGATGCATTGTGTGGGATTCCTCTTCTATTATGCTTGTGAGTTGTATTGAATTAATTGTGTATGATTGAATTGTGGTTGCTACTGACCTTTCATGGTCTTTGATTTTATTTTTCTCAATCTCCCATGATCCTGATTGATATTCAATTGTCAATTCAATATGGTGATAGAAAGGAGCAACATTCCTCTAACTTTTGACCAAATTGTGCATATGCTTGTTTCTATCATATCTAGTGTTTTGATTTTTTTCTATCATGTTTCCTCACTTCATTATGGTGTCACCATCCATCCCTTATTTGAGTCATCATTCAATTTATGGGAATACTAACTTGGTTGTTGAATGTGCGAGGTACTTTGAGAAAGGTTTTCCTTTTTTTGGCTTGAGGCTACTGTGTTCCACTTTATTTGTGGAACACAACTTATTATATTGGCACTGATCTTTTGTTTGGCATATTTGATAGACTATGCAGGATGTGTATATGTAATTATGAATGTCATACATTGCCCATGGGATCTGTTCATATCTAAAAATCTCAATACTTACATCCTGATGGCGTAATTTCTAACTTGATTTGTCTATTGATGCCTACTTGCCTG